AGAACAATACCCTTGGGATACCAATAAAAAAGATTACAAACCTTGTTTAATAGCATGCCTGGCCATTTAAAATTATTAATAAGTACTACAGTGACTTATTCAAGGCAAACACTCAATTATTGGTTTAGACTGATCCCAGAATAATTATCATCAATAGTTTAAAGACAATCTCCGTGACACTTCAGTTTGGGAACATGGCAGAACATGGCGTCACCTGACAGAATGATAAAAGAACAAAAGAGAATGTACTTTGACTTAATACGCTGCGTAGAGTGTAACAGTGACAACAGTTAAAACTTACATAGACCTACATATAATTACTTCAATAAATTTCATTATACAGTAATAAATCATGTTTGAGCTACTTTTCTATTTTTACTGAGATCGTCTTTTTTAATTCAGATAATTTAATAGTGTGTTATTTTCCAACTTATAATCTGGCAAAAAAAAAGTTCTCTTTAAAAAAACGAGCATTTTTACAAACATATCAGTTACTGAAGAACATAACAACTAAAAATTTGGCAATAGATGTTTCAAAGATTGAGGATAAAAATATATACAGATAAACATGTAGCCCTTTGTTTTTTAAAAAGTATAAATCCTCCAGAAAAGGGCTTTTATAAAATAAAATAATTTAATCATTCTTGAATGGCTCTAAAATGATTCCTGGAAAACAAAATTCTAATTCTATCTAAAATCTGTGTACTCCTTAGGAAAGAATATTGAAAGGCTGCATATTATTCCTACAAATAACAAAATGATATCTTTTAAGTCTCACTAATCTGATAAAGTAAAAATGCCCTGAAGTTTAATTTAGTAAATATATTCCTAAGTAAAGATCAGCACAAAGTAAAACAGTTTCAAGATTCTGCATCCTCTGGAAACACAAGCAAGATTACAAGTGTCAGATGTGCAGAAGAAGTGGTTTTACCACTGGTTTGGTTTTGCTTCTGAGAAGGACAACATGAACTACTGAATCATTTCTTTTCAAATCCAAGCATTCCCTGCAGCAGATCAAGCAAGCAACATCAGCAGTGCAGGAAAGTATAAAAATGACAGGCAAAAGGCATTCGTTTTCTTTTTTTCTCCCACACTTATTTCCTATAAATGGAAGGCAAGACTTTCTCAAAACATTTAAGGTGAGGCTGTTTATGTTAAAAGAAAATATAACTGAGTTTCTCACACAATAAAGTTTCACAATTAGGTTATTTATTACATTATCAGGCAATTTGGAAAAAAAATTGAGTCTTCTTTTGTCTTAGAACAAAATATAAGGTTAGTATTCTAGTCTAATTGCCCATTATTCTTCAATTATAAGTATTTTCTCATTTTAAGTGTCCTGTCCATTCATTGACAGATTTCAGCACAATATATAAAAGGGCCTGAAATTAAAATATATCAATTTTCTTCTGAAAATATATTTGTATGTTTACATTCTAAATTTCCAAATCTCTGTACACTCCTAAGGGCTTCAGTGAAAGAAAAACTTTAATTAATAATTCCAAGTTTATTTAATCATAATTAAAAACCATATATGAGTAATCAGGCTACTTATATAGACATTAAACAATTCACATTTAAAAAAAAAGAAAAGAAAAAAACAGTTTTTGCCATAGCCCGGCTCAACTTCTAAAAGAGACTGGGAAATTCTCAGACTAAAGCTTTAAATATGCACATACTTTACAGAACTAAAAATATGCCTACCTCGTATTACAATCTGGATTTTTATAAAAACGTTCCTAGTGTGATGGTGGAAGAGGGAAAGACTAGAGGAGTCTGAAGATTCTAGGCTGCCCCAAATCCAAACCAAAAACACTGCAGCTCTGGCCCTGGCATCCAGCTTCCCTTTCATCAGGCAGGAATGCCTCTCAGCAGCCTAACACCACAGCTCTGGGTAGGAGCATGCTGATGTTGGCACAGCCTAAACCAAACAAACAAGATGTTTAACAGTCAAATAAAATGTCCCGCAGCCTCCCTAATGAATTTGTCAAGGACCATCAGATTCCGCTCCCCCTCCTCTGCCTCATTAACTCAAGTATGATGAGACGGATTATAAGGAGAGAATACAGATCAATCGGTCTGAAGACCTGAAGTGGCTTTTACCCTCCAGAGTTTCTTTCTCTCTCTTAGTCTCCTCTAATAGAAACCGTATCTGCTGCAGAAGGAGCTGCCACTTCGTTTTAATACACCACCAAGGAGCTGCTGATGGACTTCTATACTAACATACATAAAAGCGGAGGTGACAGGGCCTCTTCAATTATAGCCTCCTCCGACACCGTTTCCCTTCAATTACTCCACCCGAGGAAGAGAGGAGCCGCAAGCACAGCTGAAGCTGCTCCCGGCGGCGGCAGCCCCGAGTGAGGTAGCAGGAGGGGCGAGCCTTATTTGCTGGAAGTGTTTAAGTTTATTGCTCGAATGATGTTTCTAATTAGTACCACGGCAATAAATTAAAGTCGCCTTTGTTTAACTGATTTATTATTTACTAGAGCATCTGACTTAGACAGGGTAAATTGGTAATGAATTGTTTTTAAATAAAAACATTTGTAACGTTTTATCATCTTTCAGCCTCTGTGCTCAAGTGGAGAAGCGCGGGGATCGGGATCCGGCGCGAGGACTCCTAGGTGCGTCGAAGCTCAGGGGAGCGGGGTGTCCGCCGCCTCGCGGAGGGAGCCCCAGGCTGTTTGCAAACACTCGCTCCGGAGTGCGTCCCGGGGCCGTCGCAAAGCGCAGGCGGCGAAGACCTGCCCGTGAGAAGATGGGAAGGGTGGGCTCCACGCCCTCCAGCCCGCCACCAGTCTCCGCCCAAAACCTGGC